CATAATTATTGCAGTACTTTTTCCAAAACAAATAATTTGTATATTAAAAAAAATTTAAAACAAATATAAATATCTCTATCTATATCTATCTATTTATTTATATCCATCTCTAGCCCACAAGTTTTGTGGGAGTTTCAATATCTAAACCTTAATTTCTTAATTTTTTTAATTTTATTTGAAAAAAAAAACTTAGCATTTATTAAATTCTTCCAAGTCTTTTTAATTTTTCCAATACACACACTCTTTTTAACTTTTTACATACCTACTGCAAATAGTGAGTCTCCTTTTTGTTTTCTCCTTCTTGACTTCTCACTTCTACACTTTCAACTTCAGTAACCACGTATGCAAACAGTAAGTCTTCTTTTGTTTTTTCTTTCTTGACTTTTCCTTTTGTTTACTATTTTAATATTGTAGTTAGATAGCGCATAAAAATATTTGTGATTTGTCTAGCGAATAAAAAATTATAATTTGATTTTTTAATATAATTGAAGTTAGATAAATATAAATCTTCACAAAGAGAAAAATGAATGTTCACTGAACGCCAAAAATATCTTTGGAACTCACCAGAATGTCCAGAATATTGTCGAGAAAAAAAAAGAATAAATTAATAAATTAGAGCAAAAAATATAACAAAATGTGCTAAATATTGATCAACTAAAAGAAAAAAAAAAAAAAAAAAGAAAAAAAAAAAAAAAAAAAAAAAAAAATTCAAAGCCCAAAACGACGTCGTTTTGGGCTTCGAGCCGGATTCGAGCCAAGCATTTCGGGCCCTCAAACATTATTCTTTATTTTTTCCTTCTTGACGTCTCACTTCTACACTTTCAGCTTCAGTAACCACGTATGCAAAGTCTTCTTTGGTTTTTCTTTCTTGACTTTTCCTTTTGTTTACTGTTTTAATATTGTAGTTAGATAGCGCATAAAAATATTTGTGATTTGTCTAGTGAATAAAAAATTATAATTTGATTTTTTAATATGCTTGAAGTTAGATAAATATAAATCTTCACAAAGAGAAAAATGTGATTATAATTAGTTGAATGATTCTTTTTTTTTAAACGTGATTGTAGTTAGTTTAATAGTTTTTTTTTTCATTTATTTATTTTATTATGGGAAAAATGTGTTGTGATTGTAGTTTGTTCAATGACTCTTTTTTTTAATATGATTGTTGTAGTTAGTTCAATGTTTTTTTTAATGTTATTTAATCTTTTTATTTACTATTTTAATTTTATTTTTAATATGATTGAAGTTAAATAAACATAAACACTCACTAAGAAAAAAAATGTGATTGTAATGTGAAGTGATTGTAGTTTGTTTCAATGGCTCTTTTTTTTAATATGATTGTTGTAGTTAGTTCAATGTTTTTTTTTTTAATGTTATTTAATCTTTTTATTTACTATTTTAATTTTATTTTTAATTGATTGAAGTTAGATAAACATAAACACTCACAAAGAAAAAAAATGTGATCGTAGTTAATTCAATATATATATTTTGTTTCAATGGTTCTTTTATTTATTTATTTTATTATGAGAAAAATGTGATGCGATTGTAGTTTGTTCAATGGTTATTTTTTTTTTAATGTGATTTAATCTTTTATTTACTGTTTTAATGATTTTTCTTTACAATTATTTATGAAAAAAATATGATTGTACTTAGATAGCATAAAAATATTTGTGATTTGATTTGATTTGATTTGATTTTGGTTTTTAAAGTACCAATTATTGATAATGATTAGATTGTATTTTGAAAAAAAAAATTGTAATTGATTTTTTTAACTCACTGTGTTTTTTGAAAAAAAATTGTAATTGATTGTAATTTGTTCAATGGCTCTAAATAATCTCAATTTGAATTTCTAAATTTTTTATTAAAAAAAAAACTCAGCATTTATTGATTTGGTCAAAATTTCCTGATCAACATTTATTACCTTTTTTCAATCTACATGTCTTTCCACATGCCTGCATTTATTGATTTGGTCAAAATCCCTTGATCAGCATTTAAAATCCCCTCATACAAATAATTATAGATACAATCTGTGTATAGTTACAACAACACCCTTTTCAATTTTTCTCCTACACTATGATTAGTGATAAGATTGTTAAATTATTTTTATAAAAAATCTTAAAAAAAACATAATTTATATATTAAAAAAAAATCTAAAACAAATATAAATATTTATAATTATCCCGTGCATAGCACGGGTGATAGGTTAGTAAGAATAATGGAAAACTCACCCCTTTATTTTAGCATAATGATCATCCGCTCGGTTATGAACTTGATTTTTGAAGGAAAATAATACGGGTAATCATATTATCTTAAGTAGAAACAATTTGAATTCGATGACTTATACCAATCTCGTTTGGAAAAACTTCCATCCTGAGAAGCGATCAGAGTTCCTCAATATATATTTTCTCTATATCAGATTTATAGAATATGTCGATAGAATTGGAGTTTTAGACTCCCACAACAATTCAAACAGTTCATTAGATAATTCCTTTAATTATCTTCTTTTTATTTAAATATGTGAATTATCAATAAACTATGTGGACGCTCATGGATAATTGATACAATTCTCATTTCTCTTGTCTGCCAATTAAAATTGTTTCCTCTTATTCAACGACCTTTGATTTTGATTGTACAACCAAAAGCTTCAATATTCACACATTATTTATTCAAATGCGCAACATATGCTACATACTCACACTCAAATTATTCTAAGATGACAAACCATAGAATAAAATACGATATAGACACATAGTACATAACTTGCATCACACTATGTAAATCAGCCAGAATCAAAGGGAGTAGTATTGTCTAAATCAAAGTGTCATCTTGGTGGCATCTGTAAGGCCATTCAGGATCAAGAATTAGAATTGTGAAATCACCGTCCAATTCTAAGAATTTAATTTTTCAGCTTTGTATGTGATTTTGTTTTTGTTACTTTTATGTTTATTGTTTAAATACTAATTTCATGTCCAAACAAAACAAAATTAAGTCAATAAATCAAAAACAAAATAAATTTGAATAATAGATATTCAAATAGTACTTTAATTTGGAAAAAAAAAAATTAAAAAAAAAATAACTAGAGAGGAAGCTTCACCTAGAAGATACATTTATTTATTCACTCTTGCAAGCTTACATTTTTCTTTTATTCATTTCTTTCTTTTTTTTCTTTTTTTTTAGTGTCAATCTATTTTCAGATCTAACTATATTTACTATTTTATTTTATTTTTATTTTATCTTTTTTTGTATGCAAATATTACATCAATGTGCAAAATGTTAGGAAACTTCACTATTCCGTATTTTTTCCTACAAATGCAAAGTTGTTACCATCACGCTTTCTATGTTTATATTTACATAATACATACATTTTTCACAATATTTTCATGGGTTTTTTTTGGCTGAAACTCCCTTTATGGACTTTTTCTTAAGGTGAAGGATAACTAAGTTTATCTTCTTTCATAAACCCACTAAGGAGAAGATTTGAAAATTTGTATCGACGAAGTTGACAATGACAATTTCCAATTTGTTCTCCAAGTCGCAGGGACCCTAGCACAGCCTCACTGTCGATCTTTGCAGTATCTTCAATCTGTTCTCCAAGTTGTTTGTAGAGTTTGATTTTTGTATTGGGAACTTTGTATCTTTGCAATATATTACTTTTTGACTCAAAAGATCTTCAATTTCGATTTAAGTCAACGCTTTTCAACACCAAAAAAATTGATTTTCGTAGACAGTAACGGTACTTGGAGAGGAAGAGATGCAAACTTTATTGTATCAATTGACTATGTAAATTGATATTCTACGATTGATGTGCTATTTTCGATTAGCAAAGAGGGGGCTCTTGAAGCTACAATTTAGTATTCTATGAATATGTGTAGGTTTTAATTTCTAAGAGTAGTGTGAGTTCATTTTGTATTCTATGAATATGTGTAGGTTTTAATTTCTAAGAGTAGTGTGAATTCATTCTGTTCAAAACAGGGTAACATAATATTATAAATCAAAGTAATATATTACTATTTACATCAATTTTGACAATATATATACATATATATTTTTAAAAAAATTTCATAATCAACATAAATCTTGTTTAATAGATCTTAATAAAAAGATTTTAAAAATACTAATTTTATTAAAATCTGACGTCTATGTTAAATTTTTTTAATGAGATGATTTTAACCAAATTCCCCTTTTCACCGCAATTCAAATTTATATTGTTTCTACTTCTCAGAAATATTCATTCATATAAAAATGATTATACATCATTATTTCTACAATCAAATCCAATGTAGAATCCGATATTAACAACCCAAACAATCTGTAGACACACCAAACTAAAATTGAAAAGCTCTATGATTTATCTGTGGCAATTTGCAAACCATCTAAATTGATACAGTTTCATAATCCGATTTAAAGCAGTACAAACTAGCAAAAAGAACAAAAATATCTACATCTATTCTTCTTTCTCTTATCCAGTTTTAAAAATATTTTTTAGGGACAAATTTGTCATTTTAATTTCAAACATCATTTCGACACATTTTTTAATACAACAACTCAAATAAAATCCATCTCATCTTCCCAAACACAAAAACTAAAATAACCTATTAAAATAGCCAAAAAGTCAAAAAACCTACTAAAATAGCCACTTCCCAAACGAGGCCATTATAAATCAAAGTAATATATTACTATTTATGTCAATTTTGACAATATATATACATATATATTTTTTAAAAAATTTCATAATCAACATAAATCTTGTTTAATAGATCTTAATAAAAAAAAATTAAAAATACTAATTTTATTAAAATCCGACATCTACGTTAAATTTTTTTAATGAGATGATTTCAACCAAATTCCCCTTTTCACCTTTTTAGTGCAATTCAAATTTATATTGTTTCTACTTCTCAGAAATATTCATTCATATAAAAATGATTATACATCATTATTTCTACAATCAAATCCAATGTAGAATCCGATATTAACAACCCAAACAATCTGTAGACACACCAAACTAAAATTGAAAAGCTCTATGATTTATCTGTGGCAATTTGCAAACCATCTAAATTGATACAGTTTCATAATCCGATTTAAAGCAGTACAAACTAGCAAAAAGAACAAAAATATCTACATCTATTCTTCTTTCTCTTATCCAGTTTTTCGTTTTGTTCAGACAACATTTTAAAAAATACACCGAGGGCCTTTGAGAATTACAACATAAAGCTATATCTATATATCTACAGTGACCAAAAATAAAATCCCATATATACACTATCAAGTCTTTTTACAAAAACGTGCAGGTCCCCTTCTAAGCCGTTTCAAGCAATGAGGCCCACCATCCTCCACTGTCTGTTCTGAATCATCATCATCATTGTCACTGCTGCCTGCAAATCACAGATAAAGCAACAGATATCAGAAATTAAGAATGAATGCATTCATAACTAAACAGAAATCTAGCTCCTACAACCTTATTTTAATCGGGTCCAACTACGGTGCACCAATAACTGTTTTGATGAACCGTACACCAAAATTTGATAAATAGTCACATTGTGTGGTAGTTAATTCTATTTTTTTTTAGTTGCAACATCAAGTAGGATCTAGTAGTTAGTTAGGTCACATTTGTTATGAGTAAGGTCAATTTCAGTGGTAACTGAGATCACGAAAATACTTCATAATGTATGTCGGGTTGATTCGGTTTAATGGTGGGTTGCGACTTTGTGATCCACACCTAAACCAACCCGCCCTAAAAAAAACATCAACCCCCCCAATTCGCAAACCACACAGAGCAAAATGAATAAAAGCAGATCGGGCGGGTTGGCAAAGTTTTTGCACAACCCTAGGTTGAGTAGGTTAATGCCATTGAATGGGAGTGGAATTCTGGTAGTTATGTGATACGCTTAGGGAAGTCTTAAGAGGGGAAAGAAAGCGGACAATTTGTTCAGAGGCAGAGAAGGGGTGTGAGGGTGTATGTCAGATGAATGTGAGCCTGAAGCTTCTCAAACAAGAGGGGTATATTTTGTTGAAAGTAATGGGTGAGGATGGGAGGAAAGAGGCGGTTATTATTATAGAGGTTGAAGATAGAGGTGGATGGGAGAAAATCATGAGAGTTTTCAATGAGTTTGGGTGTCACCGAACTAGATGTGGTTCAGAGCAGAAGCTTCTCGGAAGCCTCAATTATGTAGGCAAGGCCACGGTGATGTGGTAGTAACCTAGTGTAGTCAACAAAACCTCCATACATAATTGATAAAAAAACAAAGCCTAGGTGTCAAAAAGACAGTGCAGCAAGAGAGGCTTTTGCATCTTGCCTAGTCGCAAGCAAACACATCCAAGCGCTCGAAAATTAGTTAGAACTATAAGAGAATGACCCACCAGCGTATAAAGATACGATTTACAACTCCAGCCACACAGAGAAACAGAAAAATAAAACACCATACAAAATAGAGAGTGAGTGCACATAGACAAATGTAATGAAGAAACAAGAACGCTACAAGAATACATTTTCTAAAATGAATATTTTGAAAGCTTAAATTATTAAGGATAAATTACAAATACACCACCTGAGATTTGTTTAAAATATAATTTGCCTCCTGTGATTTTAAAAATTACCTTCCGTCCCTTAAAGTTTATAATTTCATAACAAATGGACTCTTTTATTAATAAATTATCATATCAATTAATAATTTTTAATGCTGTCAGAAATTTATTTTAATTAATAATTCAGATAATTTTATTATTGTATATGAGAGCAATTAAAAATTTCATTTTTTCAGTTAATCCTATTAAAAAAAAAATTTGACAAGGGGATATTTGTAATTTTTCAAATCGCAAGGAGTAATCTGTATTTTAAGAAAATCCCGAAGGGTGTGTTTGTAATTTACCAATTATAAAAAGCATGAAACTTCAGTATTTTATATCATTAAATACACCACCTCACATGTTGTCGATTCCCCTTCATGGGTGAAACAAAAAACATGCCAGTGTGCAACCATCAATCAGGCAGTTAGATCCATGCATAGGACATTTAACTCTTTGCAATGATCGATACAACCCATTGCCCCTAAAGGTGAAATGGGATGTGTAAGCCTGCACATCATGCAAGTGCCTTTAAAGGATTTCAGAAGACACGGTCACTCAGTGCACAAGATCATTGAAATGCCACCACTTTTTACAAGAAACATAGTTGTATAAGCTAATTCCGAAGACATACCTTGTAAAATTCTATTGGGTTTCACATGAAGCGCATCTTCATCTACAACATGCTTCCGCTTGGAATCATATCCAGCACGTTTCTCAGACACTATTATCACTCCACGTTCAACCTTTTGTTCTGACATTTCACATTTTCCATTGAAAGGGTCCATATAACAAAACCTGTTTAAACAAAGTAATCCAATTGACAACAAATGAGTGCCACATTTTTCAACCCAAAATATATATATTTCAAATTTAGCATTTAAACTAAGACCAAAATCCTTTCAATATGGCTTTCTTATTTATTAACTTATTTATTGTTTGGGGTCCTCATTCATTGTATTAAAATTAACAAGCTGGTTCATGTGAGCAGATAACTGCATTTATCTGTGTTTTCATTCACATCATCTGAACAACACACATCTAGCAGCAACATTCATTGCTTGACAAGATATCATTACAAAATTATTCTCCACACTCATCCTGTCATTCATTGATGACAAGATGTACAAGTAGCTTCCAGTGGAAAAATATCTTTTGCCATTTGATCTTACAGCATCAAGACAGCACCATCTAAAGGTAGCACCAACATTCATTGCTTGACAGAATATCAGTACCAGATTTCCTTCCATGCTCATTGTTTTTAATTTCTTGACTAGATGAACAAGTTGTTGCTTCATGTGGCAAGACATCTGTTGTCACCATGGATCATCCAAACACATTTATATCACACCATCTAAACAACAAATCTAGGACAGCTCAAGATAACACAAAGGACAAAGGGGGAAAAAAAATAGAAGTACAAAGGACAAGAAAAGTCGCTGACCCATATAGTGAAATCCAAACACAAATAATACAGAAACACTTCCACATGGAGGCATTTCAACACATTGGAGTTCACAGCAAACATTTGTATGCATCAAGGAACTTATGGCATCATAATACCATTGTCAGCTCAGATAAACACAGTCGCCAATAATAAAATCACAGGAAAAAAATATTTATTTATTTTGGTTAACACACAACACCGATGCCCCAATTGGGACTTGAACCCTGTAACTTCCCATTAAAGGTGGCAGGAGATACCACTCAACTTGGGAGCCAGTAGTAGCCCAAACAAACATTGAATGGAAAACAGAACAACACATTTAGTGTGTTTGGTTTGAGTTTTTTGGATTAAGTTCTTTAAAAACTGAATTTTTTGGTTTTTGTATTTTTTTGTTTTTAGTGAATATTTTTAAAATTTTAAACATTTTTTTTACTTTTTTAGATGCACCTTACTTAGATGTATTTAAAAAGTAAAAAATTTATGAAAAACTATTTAAAAAAATTAATAAATACATAAAAATACAAAAAATATACTGAATTCTCGTATTTTTTTGTATTTTTGGTATTTAGTGAATTTTTAAAAGGTTTTTGTCACAAATTTTTTACTTTTTAGGTATATTTATGCTAGGTATGTCTAAAAATAAAAATAAAAATAAAAATAAAAAATTGCTTAAAATATTAAAAAAATTTAGTAAAAACATAAAAACACGAAAAACAGGAAAGTATAATTTTCTGAAAAGTGTTTTTGGAAAACTCTAACCAAGCAAAGATATTAATGGCTTTTTGATTTTCACATAGAGATATCGGATTCAAAATTAATACCATTCTTGAGGTAGCTTCCTGCTGTCAAAACCAGACCTCAACATTCTCCACTTCCTACACTTGTCACATTGCACCCATTCATGATCAGGTTTGTAGAAAGCACCACCCTTTTCCTGGAGAGATAAAAGAAAGGAAAAAGGCCAAGTCAGGGGAACAATATAGTTCCGCCACACTACAATAGAAGAATGTCCAACAAATTCGATTTCATTGCTTAATCAGTTGGAAAGAACAACAGATCAAGTTTGAACCAGTTGGCCAACATCACAAAACTCACATAATCACGACTGGTGAGCACCATATTTACAACTTAGTATAAAATAATATGCAACAGACCTGCCAACCAAAGAAAAGGAGAGCAGAAACTAGACACTGAATAAATTGGTTCTTTTAATCTTATTGGATTTGATTCATCACAAGTAAAAGTAATTATCCAAGAAAATTAGCAACCTAGGAAAAATGGACCACCTCTTGTAACATTTGGCCTATTTCTAAGACAAGTGCCGACTTGTCTGGACTACTGCCTACCAGATTTAAAACCGAGTGGGGGTGTTTGGGATGGGCTAAAATAGCCCATCCTAGGCTAAAATAGCCAATAAAACAAAAACACCCCATCACATCACTTTCTCTATTTTTTTGTACATCTTTTTGTAAAAATTCAAAATAGCCAACTAAACAGGGCCATTGTACAGCAGACCTGTCCACAAAAGCAAAGGAAAGCAGAAACTAGACACTGACTATATAGTTCAATCAGCAATGAGCAAGTGAATTACCAATTGAAGTGCATCATAATTATTGTCCCAGTATTGATCAAATCTACTACCCAGCCACTCCTCAAGTCGAGCGTACAGTTCACAGTCCTGGAATCCTTGTTTGTTACTGTGAACCCACACTTGCCCATTACCATCATTCTGCACAATGAAAAAATAGAAACCAGGGCACTGAAATTCACTATTAAATAAAATTTGTTTCTTGCAAATGATAATCCTCTAGTATAATACATATCTCAGTAATAATCCTGTCAATTAAATATCACAATGCCAACTAGTCAGCCAAAGTATTGCCAATGATGCAAGTGCTTGCACTCCTTTGAAAAAAAGACATCAAAAAAAGCACACAAATGCAAAGCATATATGGATGGATTTATCATCATTACAACCATAAAAGTCAAATTGGCCAAGCGGCTCTGGGAAACAGATCTGACCTACTGCTGAGGTGATCACCCAATAATTAGTCATACTTTAATTCAGAAAATTAATTGCCAACAACATAACAACGTATATATCTACTACTAAAAGTGGTGGCACATGCAATGCCTTTTCCCCATGGATCGTCCTTTTTTGATGTTCAAAAAAAAAAAAAAGTGTATGCTTGAATTCAGAAATTGAAAACTGAAATACTTTATGAATCTGAAAAGATCCAACAGTGGAGAGATTTTATTAAAAATTTTAAAAATAAATAACTGAATTTGGAGCATAACTGCCCTTTGCTTTGTACATAACTGCTCATGTGGGCATTTTCGACAACCAAAAAAAAAAGAAAGTAATGTTGACACCAACTTAAGGACTACTACACTTTAGATGTGTGGACATGTGTTAAATGCAAAAATAACATTATGAAAATATAAATATGACAAAATAAAAATGGTAAAATAAATTGATTAAACTTCATCAAGAAAAACTATATTTCACAATCAGCAATCATAAAAAATATCATTATAAAAACCTCAAATGGGTAGACTAGGTGAAATAGAGGTAAGGACATGCATTCAAATTGCATACATAACACTATGAAAATATAAAAAGCTGAAAACGATGATTAAACTTCATCACAAAAATATAGTTCATAATCATCAATCATCAAAATACTATCAGCCAAAGGATATCAATCAAAAATCTTAAAAGAGTGAACTAGGTGAAAAAGAGCAAAACCTAACTAGAAAATTGAATAAATTTCAAATCCAATTTTAATAAAGAAGCACCAGAAAGCCCATCACTATGTTCTTTGCCAAATTCAAATGCAAATTTTAATTTTTGTTGTATGTTACTTACCCTTTAGTTTTTAGAATTTGGTTACTTCTAATTTTTAATTCAATTTGATTGCTTTTGGGATCCGATCTAATACATACAACCTAAAAAAACGCAACAATCCCTCCTGCTTTTAACACTCATTTATTGCCCAATAATATATATATATATTCACAAATGAGTAGTAGCTCAGGCGACTGCCACCTAGGTGATTTTGCATAACCCAGTCACCTAGGCGGCTGTCCATGATCATGTCTATAATCATAACTACACCCTCTTAGAACACAACCAGTGTGACCAGCATCAGCATGGTGAAAAGATGGTTTTCCTACATTAGGGGGGAGAGAGAGAAACCGGGACGCAAAGACGTTGCTATTGAAAAGCTCAGTGGCTTCAAATTTATGTAAAAGCCACATCTTACATAACTGTATTTTCGGCAACACAATTAATATTGTGTTTGATTGGGGGATTTAGGAAGAGATTTAGAAAGAGAAAAGGAAAAAGTGTGTGAAACTAGATGAAATGTAAGTATATTTTATTCACATTTCACCTATCTTATCCATTTCCTTTTCCAAATCCCTCAACAAATCCCTCAACCAAACATAGCGTAAGGGTGATTCTATTTATACACCACTAATACTCTCAGTACACACCATTACTTATTAAACATACAAAATAATTTTTAGGGGGGTTTAAAAATATCTTAATTCACACCTTAACTTTCAATTGCTAAACTTATATTAACACACCACTAGCTATTTGAATACACACCATTACACACACCAAAAACTCTTCATCTTCACCACTACACACAACAAAAACCTCATAATCTTTAGAACAGAGACCATCTTCGTCGGTCTTGATCTCTATCGCCGGCAGAGGTTTCATTCGGCCTCCATCTTTGTTGGTATTGATCTCCATAGTTGGTGTTGAACTCTCGTCATCTTGTCGTTTCAGATCACCGGAGTGTTTCATTCGGCCTCCATCTTTGCCGGTGTTGATCTTCATTATCGATCTTGAACTTTGTTTCTCGTTATCGTCTCAAATTCATCAAATTAGCCATGTTCATAAATACAGAGTTGATTGTTGAACAAACTTAATGGGCTTGTTTGGTTTGAATTTGGGAGATGAATTTTAGAAAAAAATTTCCCAAAATTTATTTGGTTTGAGATTTTTCTCAAACAATTTTCAAAATCACTTCTCTCTCTTACACATCAATCAAACACTTTTTCTCTCTCCTCTCTTCTTCTCAATCGCTTTTTCTCTCACATATCTACTCAATTCTTCCAAAATATCAAATCATCCCAAACTCCCACAAAAAAAATTTCCCTCAAAATATACAACCAAACAAACCCAAAAAATTTCTAAAACAACTCTCCCAAATTTTTTTCAAAAACAACTCTCCCAAAAACAAACCAAACAAGCCCAATGTGTTCAAAAATTTATATCTGAACAATGTATAAAAATTTATTTTATTTTAACTAAACTAACATAAAATGTTCAATTTTTATGTATGATCATTTAATATTCGGTCCATCTTAATAATTTAAACAAAATTATTTTGTTCAAATATAAATAATTGAACATTCTAAAAATTCAACTTTGGTTATCCAAACACGATGAACAAACTCATCTTCCCAACATACGAACGAGATAAATAAAAAACCAAAAAACCAAGTCATAAACTAATATTTTCTTCTTCTTTTTTTTTTTTTTGGATAAATCAGTCATAAGCTAATCTTTTTTTCTATCTTCAAATTAACGTTTTCAATGTTTATATCGAGACGAACCATCTTAGTGTCATCTATGGTGTGCAAATCTTGGTTTCACTTTTCAATATTCACTTTTTAGAAAATTGAAATTTTTTGTTTTTCATGTTTTTTTGTTTTCACTGAATTTTTTTAATTTTAGATATACCTAACATAAATACACTTAAAAAGTATAATATTTGTGAAAAAAATATTTTAAAAATTCACTAAACACCAAAAATACAAAAAAAATTATGAAAATTCAATACATTTTCGTATTCTTGTGTATTTATTGATTTTTTAAAATATTTTTTTACAAATATTTTACTTTTTAGATACATCTAAGTAAGGTACATCTAAAAAAAGTAAAAAAAAATGCTTACAATTTTAAAAATATTCACTACAAACAAAAAAATACGAAAAATAAAAAACTCGATTTTCAGAAAATTGAAACCAAACACAGTGAATTGATTTCAATGTTCCTAAACCCTAAATCTTCAAAGGCAATAATGTTTTGAGTTTGAAAAATAAGTATAATGGAGAAGAGAATGAAATAAGCTAATTGATAATGAATGATATCATAAGTGTATGTTAATGGTGAAGATGATGAAGAAATACAATGTTTATATGTTAAAACCCCAAACCCTATAGGAATGATGGTGTGCGAAGAGTATTTTGTGTTTTTAAATATGAAATTTTTGAATGGGTAGAATACACCTTATGCTGTCCTTAATGGTCATTTCATTGGAGGATATTATTGGAATATAAATTTAATCTATTAATGGTGTGTACTAAGAGTATTAGTGGTACAAATAGAATCACCCCACAATTAATTACCCATGAAACACAATGAACCTTGGACTTAGTGACATTTATGCTTATACTTCTAACTGGAAGATCTCACAGACTGGACACATCACACATTAAGCCCAATATGTGTGTGTATCTGATAGTCACAGTCTCACACGAAGGGAAAAATGAAAAATAGAAAGCAAATAGTTATTAGTTTTTAGTAAAATGTATACCATTAGATCAGTGACATCTAGAACACCAATCACACCCCGACCTGTATCTGCACTATGAATCATGCCCCCAACTCTCTTGTAAGCCTACAATGACAACAAATAAAAATTCAGACAAAGATTAGATTTTGCTGGCAAGTAGGAATACATTGGACTAACTTCAAAACAATGGACCAGAAAATGTCTCAATAAAATATAAAAAAAAACTTTTAAAAACAAAATCCACATGCCATTTCAACATCATTTTCTCCAATTTTACAGTTCCAAGATCCCAAGGTCGTTTGTCAGGCACAGGTATTTCACACTCTTAAAAGAGTCCATGTAATATAGGTTATAAGAAGAAAGAGAAATCAAAACAAATCTAGGCAGCTTTGCAATTCATATTCGACATTATAAAGCATATTATAATGCTCAAATGACCAAAAAACACTTTAAACAATAGCCCCTTTCTAAAAAAATTCTCTAATATAAGGTAGTAAGCTTTTTGGAACCCTTTGGTGAATTGAAGTTGGCCTACCTAGTTATTACACAGGATTGTATATTGAGGTGCTCCTCGCCAGTTGTTGGAAACAAAAAATCAGTGTAATTCATACAAATGGGGAGTTCTTGCTAAAAAATTGTACTTCTAGTTTCAAATGAAAACTAAGGTGAAAGGATGCTAAAACACAGCGAGGCCAAAACTCACCTCAATCAAACGACCATGCCAATACAAAAATATTCCACAGTTAGCCTGCTCCCACTCTAACTGACAGCGACCAAGAATGATTTGAACATGTTTTCCCATGATGTTACCATTTTCCACAACAGTTCTATTCAGACATTTAGCTAACGGTAGACTTCTGACCTGTTGCAGAAGAAATCAAGCCAACAATCAAACTGGCTACACTGGAGACATCTTCTAAGCACAAAAGTAGGAGAAAGAAACATGCAACTACCAGTGAGCCTTGGACATATAACTTCATTCGTGGATCTAAGAAGATCACTTCTAAATAAGCTCGAAGTGAATAGTCTAAAGGCACCTGAACACCAAAAAAGACACAAAACTAAGCTTGTTTACAACAATAACCTTATTTACGAAATAAAAAGAGGATTCCTAACCCTACGACTAGTCTGGCCTGGACGAGATCTGATCCGCTGCGAACGAATAAGTATGTCACCTTGGTGAAAAGAGCTCCCACCACTCCTTCCAGTCTGCCATTCCAGGCAATAATCTGATCCCCATTTATCCAAATTCCATATGTATATCTGTGTTCCCGTTCTTTTTTCTTGGAACAAACTGGCCTTTTCACCAATAAGGTACTTATTAAATGGTGAAAATTCCTTAATAGCTTTCAAATTGTGCTTTGCTAAAGCTTCAGTTTGGACACTTGTATCGACTTCCATAAACTGTCCTCGTCTGCAATAGCTTACAATGGGGATCTCCAGATTCTACAATATGAGAGAAAGAAGTTGAAAAACAGCATGAGAGAAAGCAGTTGAAATAAAGTAGACTAAAATTCCCCAGAACCAAAAAAAAAACCTTGACGATTCTTGCATACATCTTTTCCTTCATTTAGAGACTGTGAAAGAAAAGCTATAGATCTGGAATTAGCAGTCTGAGTGAGTACCAAAGCATCCTTGCCTAGTCTCATTGCTCCTGTCTGAGAAAGAAATGTCCAAGATCAGCGCACTAAGCACCATGAGAATATCCAAGTTATCTAAACAAGATTTTAGATGAGAAAATTCATATATTTGTAGCTAGAACTCAGAGAAAATACAAGACTTTTAACAAATAGCATCATCCTCCACTTGGTTTGAGGGTAATGATGTGTGGCTGTTGGAGAGATGTATATACATAAATTTTTTGGCTCCAAACAGAATTTATTTGAAAGAGTTCAATCAAATCTTAGAGAATTGCTGGCAGTACAACTTATCACTTCCACATAAAACTTCAAGGCAAGAATTGGTAGATAAAAAGATGTCAGCTGCAAACATATTGATTTGCCTCTCCACTTTCCCCCTCCCAACTTGTTGGTTTTCTCTAAATCCAACCCAATGTGTCCAAGAATTTAGCAACAAAATTTAAGTCAGTACTAGCACTAGCAACATCAATGAATTACCTTTACCTCGGAGTGGAAGCACCACAATATTTTATAGAAACAAAAAAAAGTTCTTCAATTTCTGCCAACATGTAGAACTATGTCACATTTCATTATTTAATAATAAGTTTTCCAATTTCTGTGTGGGTGATTTGTGTGGTTAGAGGTAGTCCGGAAAGATGGCGGGCACTTCAATAGCCTGAGATCACCGGAGGTAGAGAGGAGGAGATCAAGGCAAGCTTGGAGAGGGAGAGGTTGGCAGTGATAGACCTTGAACACTAATGCAAAGTGAAAGAGGGTGTTTAAGCATGAGACTTGGTTGTGTTGTTGTTGTTGTGTCTTGCTGCATATACGATACGTTATATAGGCCACAGGAGTATTGGAGTCCAAGCGAACTGTTGGACAGGTGGCTCGTTCTCCTTAACTCTGCCAGAAGTGATGTAAGCCCTTCTGTCGTCTGTGGCTTGCCGGCAGGCGGAGAGCAACGTTTCATAGCAGGCAGAAAGTAACGTTTCGTATATGCATCGAATGACATGAACGTAAGGTCATTGTTGCCTCTTCTCCAAGCCTGGTCGAGATGGAGTTGTCTTAGCAAGAAGACAGCCATCTCAACGATCCCATGACCTCAGCCGCCAGTCCAGTATCCTCTGATGATCCCGAGCAGTAGTGCCTGCGTCCTGCTGCCAACTCAGGCATCCAAGTAGATAAATGGGCCAGGGCCCACCTTAGTGTTTAAGAGAGCCAAGGGCTCGCTTCCAAGTGACCAAGTAGGAGAATGGGCCGCGGGCTTATCTCAATGTTTAAGAGAGGAGCTTGCTTCTGAGTGATCAAGTAGGAGAATGGGTCGCAGGCCTATCTCAATGTTTAGGAGAGCCATTGTTTATCAATCCAAGTCCAAGTGAGCCGGGGGCTGATTGTATTGTTGTTTGGCCTTGGAGCGAGGTATGAAGGACCATGGGCCCTGCGGGGCCATGGTGCTGCCTGTTGCAGGGCTCTTCATATCTAGATATATTTGGGCTTGTATATATGCTCCCGCTTAGGCTAAGCATATAGTTTTGGTTGCCTTGGCACATGGCGCCCATAGGGCTCGCCATGTATCAAACATACGACATGCCAGACGTGGTGCCTTATTGGTCTGCCACGCAGGTGTGGTTTTGGTGATGTGGCACTTGTAGGGCTTGCCACGTATTGGGCTTGAGACAAGTACCCACAATAATGCCCCCTTGTACAGATGCTCTTATAGCTGATGAGAGTATTTGTACATGACTATGTTAAAAAGTTTTGAAAAATATTAACTCATGCAGACAAGTATTCAGATAGAGTCGTCTAAAATTAGGCTTTTGATATAATGAGGGCATTTGGATTGCTCATGGAGAGTTTACATTTTAAATTTCATCCGGTGCGAGCCGGATGAAGATGTGGGCTTGTTGGGCGATGGCTTGATTTCGGGGAACTTCCACTACTTCACAAGAGATTTCGACTTCGTTCCATAGGCACCAGATTCCGCCTCTCACCCTTTCCATGCCACTAAGAGGGGGGGCAATGGTCTTGGTGTTAGGAAAGCCCAAGATTTGGCTCATGAACTGGGCCTCGCTTCCTTCTTTTTTTGTGTTTGTGATGATGACGAGGTGGAAGCGTCTGCTAGAATGTAGGTGCATGTAGTGTTGGAGGAAGTTTGGGCGAGCGACGCCCTCAGTGTTGAAGAAGAGGATGTTAAGCGGAATGTTGTAGGGGATGTTTGGCTGAGCACTGCGGGAAACGCTCTCTTCTCCTATGTTGAGATCTGCAAAGCTCTCTATGTCCTACCCAAGTCCCAAATCTTCATTTGGGTTTTCCAATGGTGCTGACATGATGGAGATGTGGTGGTCTAGATCTCTCTCTGTTGGCCTTTGCGAGAGGATGTTGATGCGGATCATCTCGAAATGTGGGACTAACACCTGATTTGCCTGGCAGGTAGATCCCTGGAGAGTGAGGTTGATTTCTTGGTTTAGCAAAAACCAAGTATAGGATAGCGGTATTGTGTAAAGTTCTGGAATGGTTAGTGCCTTGTACCATTCTCTTATTTTACCCCAGAATTCTTCCGGCACCTCTACGACTGTATGAGCAGATATTGGGTGTTGGATTCAAGGGGATTCGAATAGCTGATCTTGGAATTGCCATGGAGGCATGGTGAGCATCTTTCGAAAGAATTCACACACAGGGCGACAGCGATGAGTAGGAGTAGAGCTTGAAGCTCTAGAGTTAGAGCTTAAAGCTCTATAGCTTGGACCTCTAGGGTTTGGAGCCTTGTTCACCGGTCGCCAAACCGTGTTGTCTCGGTGCCCCTCTCTTCGGGAAGCCATTTAGAGAGAATGGGCAAGTGAAATATGAATTTGCTTGCGTTTTTTTTTTTTTTTGTGCTTTGTGTTGTTGTCCTGCATTTGTGCTCTTATAAAGAGGGGTTGCATCGGAAAAAAGGGGATGGACTTACTGACTTTTGCAGCTTTTGTTGGGAAAGTGCGATCTATGGAGAGGACAACTCATCAATTGGAGTTATAGCTTTAGAGCAGACCATTAAAGGCTACTGATGGGAGCTGCCATGGTAGCGTGTAATAGCTTTTTGGAGTGTCTAAGATTGTTGCAGTCTGTTTTTTTTTTTTTAATGTTTGTAACAGGCAAAGAGAATTTTTTGATTGGTTTAAGGATTTTCCTTGGGAATGTACAACCTTAGTATGCGTGTATACAAACTTTTATTTTTTTATTTATTTTATTTTATTTTTTTTTTTTGAAGTTCGTTTGCTTAAATATTGCATTGTTGCTACGTAAAAGTTTTGTGTATATTCTGGGTATAACTTGAACTTGTTCGAACCATTCCAAAAGTGAGCTTGCCGTTTTATAGAAATAAGGACTCTATATATATACAGATATATAGATATATATATATATATATATTTTTTTTTTCAAAAAAATGTTTTTCGTGTTTTTTGAATTTGACCAGAGCTGTCCAAATTCTGGTTACTTCATCCACTTCTCTTTTTATCCAACTTCTATTTTTATTCAATTTCCATCTCCATGCAATTTCCTATCATTAATGTATGTTGGTTTCTTGAATGAGCATCCATTTTTAATTTCATGCAACTTCCATTTTTATTTTTTTTCAACTTCCATTTTTATTCAATTTCTTTTTCAATCGAATTTCCTTTTTTATTTAACTAAAAATAGATCGTTAAGGTGTAGTGGTTTCTTGAATGAACTTCCATTTTTAATTTTATGCAACTTCCATTTTTATTTAGTTACCTTTTCTATTCAATTTCCTTTTTTTATTTAATTTCCAAATAGATCGTTAAGGTATAATGGTTTCTTGAATGAACTTCCATGTTTAATTTTA